ATATGTTCATGGAACCGATACTTTATAGTACTTTTATATGTACAATATATACATTCATGTATTTCTCCAGAAACCTCTGCAGAAAATTCAGGATGTTTTTTAATTATATGATCTTCTAGCGATCTTTTATGTGTGAACGCGGCTTTACAGTGAATACATGTACTGAGCTTACGACTTTCAGTATGTTGCGACATATGTCTATCAAGCTTTTGTTTTGCGGTGGTTATGTAAGTGCAATATGGACATTTGTGTATTTTACTTGAAACTGATGCAATATATTCAGGATGTTTCTTAATTATATGACCATCTAAAGTTGCCTTACGCGTGAATGCTTCTTCACAATGAATACATTCAATCTGCTTATAGCTACTATCTGCAACACTATGTTTCAATACATGTCTAGTAAACTTCACTTTGATGGTAGTTTTGTAAGTGCAATGTGTGCATTCATGAATTTTACTTGATACTGATGCAATATGCTCAGGATGTTCTTTAATTATATGATCATGTAGATTTATCTTATCTTTGAAAGTTGCATTACAGTAAATACACGTTTTACGTTCACAGCCGCCTTCTGCTTCTGGATGCTTCATCATATGCCTTGCAAAAAGACCCTTTGAGGTGGTTTTGAATGTACAATATTCACATTCATGTATTTTTGTTGTAACCAATGCAAGATTCTCCGAATGTTTCTTAATGATATGATTATCTAACTCCCTTTTAAGGGTACTTTTGTAAGAACAATCTGTGCATTCGTGTATTTTACTTGTAACGGACGCTATGAAATCAGGATGTTTCACAAGTATATGATTATGTAAACATACTTTCCTTGTGAATGTTCCATTACATTGAATACAGACAAAGCGTTTACAACTATTTTCTGATCCTGGATATTCAAGCATATCTTTTGTAGTAGTTTGTCTACATTCATGAGTTTCACTAGAAACTGAAGCAACAGAGTCAGCATCATCCTCACTTTTAATGATGAATTCCTCAGTGATTTCTGTAATTCCACAGGTCTCGGTGTCCAAATTGTTTTCTAACATCATTTCTTCAACACCTTCACATTTTATCACAGGGTTAGTAAAATTATGCTCATTGAATATGCTGAAACAAAATAAAAAACTGCAGGCTTCTGTATATATTTTACAAATTTCCATATACATATATGAAGCAAATTAAAGAGTATAAGGTAAAACCACCAAAACCTTTACAACAAAGGTAAATCAAGTCCATCAAACTACTAAGCAGTACTTAATAATGTTCACTTAAATTTGACAACTAATTTAAGATCACCCTTAAGAATGCTTCTAAGTCATATAAGAATCAAAACTCATTTTTTTAACCCTTTCGGTACGGTTGCCGGATATACCCGACAGGAAGCAATATGGCCCTGCGGCCTGGTGACGGATATATCCGTTCAAGGTTATTTTTTTTAATGACCCTTGTGCCGTTTATTTCCGACTCTTTTGAAAACTTACATTCACCGAGAGACTGCCGACGACTTTATCCGACGTATAACGCATTGTGGATGGCCTGCTGTTGGAATAACCCGTCAATGTCGGAAATATCCGACGGCAGTCGAGCATGGTAGCATGCCATGTACCGTAAGCTTCAGAAGCGTCAGTTCGTTCGATCATGTCAAACGAGGAGGCCAGTTCGTCTCAGGGCACTAAGCGGCCGAAAAGGCGTAAAGTAGATTGTAGCGGATATTGTGGTTTAACTGAGGAGGAAGTCAATAGTATTTTAAGTCTGGTAGATGAAGATATTTACTTGTCTGACGTTAGTGAAGAAGACCCCTTTCTCGATAGCGGAAGCGAATATTGTCCATCTTCTTAGGACTCTGAGAGCGATCTGGATGAATTGGAACCGGAAAATGAACAAGAAAATCAGCAGGAAGAGGTAGGAAACGTTGAAGATAATATTACTCACCAAACAGTTCTGGAAATAATTTGGACAAAAAATGAGTTTCTACCGAAAATACACGAATTTGACACGACCAATAGCGGTGTAAAAGACCAAAACCTCGACGAAAACTCAAAGGAAGTCGACTATTTTCTTAGTTTGTTCACAGAAAACATAGTGGATGTTATTTTGGATGAAACAAATAATTATGCACGCCAACAAAATGCAAAAAACTGGAAGCATTTAGAACGTTCCGAATTTTACGTTTTTCTGGCTTTGACGTTGCTTATGCCTCGCAATAAAAAAGTGAACTTGAAGGAATGTCCCAAAACCACTTACTGCTTTCACCTGCATTTAGCAAACATATGTCAAGGGACAGGTATTTTCAATTACAAAGATATTTGCATTTCTCCAATAATGAAATCGCTCCACCTGGTAATAGATTGTTCAAAGTTGAGAACGTGCTAAATATATTGAAAGAAAATTTCCAGTCTCAATTCTATCCATTTCAAAATTTGGTTATAGATGAGAGTATGATTCTTTTTAAAGGAAGACTCAGTTTTAAACAGTATATCAAGACCAAGAAACATTGTTTTGGAATTAAACTCTACGTGTTGTGTGATTGCGAAACAGGAATTGTCTTAGACTTTATAATATATTGTGGAAAAGACACTAATATAAAAGCAGAAGACAAGAATAATCTTGGTACTACAGGGGCCGTTGTTGCAAAACTTTTAGAGCCATACCTCAACAAGGGACATTCTCTTTATACGGATAATTTTTACACCAGCCCTACATTTTCAACTTTTTTGTTACAACATAAAACAAACTCCTGTGGAACTGTAAGGCAAAATAGGAAACATATGCCAGTATTTGATAAAAAATTAAAACAAGGAGATACTGACTGGAGAAGTAGTGAAAATTTATTGGCAATAAAATGGAAAGATCGGCGGGATGTTGTGATGCTGACCAGTATGCATGAAAATAGAATGGTTACTTTGCCGAAAATAAATCGATCTACATATGAAAATGTAATAAAGCCGTTATGTGTTCTGGAATACAACCGTCAAATGGGGGCTGTCGACAGATCAGATATGATGCTGAGTAGCATAGATTACACTCGAAAATGTCTGAAATGGTATAAGAAGTTATTTTTCCATTCGATTGACATAACATTGCTAAACGCACATGCAATGTTTTCCACAAGACATACTAAGAAGACTTCATTCGCCAATTTTCATCTAGCGGTTATTGCTCAACTTATAGAAAGGTAAAGATTTCTTTGTAGTTTTCGATCATATTTGCTAAATGCTTTTTTTTTGCAGGTATGGCATAGTAAAATCTATACATTGTGATTTGGGCAATGCCAGGCTTCAGAATAGACACTTTCCGGTGTCAGTTCCACGAAAACCAGGCAGTACTAAGGTTGGATCCAGAAGATGTTGGGTTTGTTCCCATACAAAGCAGAAGCAAGCAAAAAGAAAAGAGTCCAGCTATATGTGCCCAGAATGTGACGTTGGATTATGCGTGGTCCCTTGCTTCAAAATATATCACACAGAGGCTACTTTTTAATGTTTAATGTTCTAATGTTTAATGTGTTTATGTTTTCTGTAACTTTACCTAATAAAATAATTGTTTTAATATAACTTGCTCATATTATTTCATAAAATGTGGGTAGTTTTCTTAGGTGACGGATATTTCCGACGGCAGGCCAATGACCAATGTAAAAGTCTCAGGCCGTAGGAATAAAAATGTTCAGTGACAAGCCGTACCGAAAGGGTTAATAAACCATTCATTTTTTAGAAGGACACATCAACTAGTCAAGTTACATGTATGTATCTTAAAAGTATCCATTCTATGCAGACTGACAGCTAGCAGAGAATGGCATTTTAGCAAAAATTGGAGTACCTGTATCACTCAACTTCACAATATTTAAATTATAGCTGAACGCTCCAGTGATTGCTAAGCTATGGAAGAAAACAGAAACAGCTGCTACCCCAAATGTAATATGAAATATAGTCGAAATCACGGAAGATGACGATCACGTCATCATTTCACTATGTTGTAAAGATGAACGACAGCGATTTGTGAATATTTTTATTATATATCCGACAAAGGTAGACGATGTTTTCATGTTGCATGATCGATCATATTTGAAAGATGGATAGTTAGGTTATGTTAAAGCAGGTTAGGTTGTTTTTGAATTATACTTTGGTCTTCGGTGTTCCTGTCTTATTCTACTCACAACTTTTTTTTCAAACAAAAGCTCCCCATTAATATTATTATTAAGGTATCACTCAAAACCATGAAGTAAAGTGAAAATGAAAATAATCAGTGAAATCACCTAACTTCGCAAAATCATAATATAAATTTGTTGTCATTATGTTACTGACATCGTTATTTTATCATCGACGTACGTCCATTGATTACTCCAGTACAATTTAATAGTCATCTTTCGTGATTTTGACTATATTCACCTAGTTGGAACTTGGAACATTTTCTGTTTGCATTCATAAACCTACCGAGAGAGAAGCATGCAATACGTGTGTCAGAAAGAGTTAAAGCACGAAGCGACGAGGCCACGTCTGATTTGGTAGACTCACCTTTCCGAAACAGTGCCTGCGGTATCTGTATCGATAAATCGGCCACTCTCACCTTTAATGTACACTTTGGTGATTTCAGCGACCTCAAATTCTTGGCTCTCAGAATCATTTTCCACCTTTATTTTTTCTTTTTGTAGTTCTTTGTCTTTCTCATTTTTAATATCTCGTTCATCGGTCATTCTGGTGACAATAAATTTTTCACCATCCAAGTGAATTTTCAGGTTGTTTTTTATTTTAGAATTCTCACAACACAGATCTCCTCATCAACAACCCCTTTAAAACACAGAACACTGGACATTGGACAAAAATGACAGAGACAGATAAGACAACAAATCTTAACCCTTTCAGGTGTCAAATTTTGCCAGCGTTGCCAAATTGTAGCCAACTGTCATGAGATAAGGAGGAACATTCAAAAACTTCTCCTCTGTGGACTGACCGAAAAGATGTCCAAACATGAACTCGAATTGTCGGTTACCAGCAAGTAACTTAAGAATGAAAATCGAACTTCTTGCAATCGAAGAAAGTTTTTCTTTGACTGGCAATACCAGATAGTATCGGATGTACGTTTTCTCCTTACGTAACGCATAAGTGGTATTACTACCCCATTAAACATCTTAGAGATTTACGCAAGTTTTTGACTAGATGGAAACGGGTCTCTTTTTCTCAAAGTTCTGATTTGACTGAATTATATTTAACAATAATTAACATAAATTTGATGTAATGATAAAATATATGCTAGGTACTAGAATAGGTATACATATTACAAGTACTACACCATAACTATCTAAAACTGTAATGACTCACCTATGTTCACGTGAACATCACTCAACCATCGGTAGTCGGGTTGTCAGTGGCGGGGTATGAATTTTTAATGTGGGTGAACTTTGTTTCTTTTTTATAGTTTCGATAAAACAGGAAATGGTTTGAAAGACGTTATAGATCAGAAATTTGGAGATTACCTTTTTCAATTTTTATCTGATTGTGAATGAGCTTTTTTATAACATACGCTCATCTAGTAGAAGGGGGTAACATAAAGTGTAGATATTCGAGGATATGCTGTCTTCTGTATAGCTGGAGAAGGAAATTTCATGATGCCGTAACATGACAAATACAGGACTTTCAATCAGGGATTAAAAATTAAAAAAAAAGTTATACTTATATGTAAACGATATATTACAAAAATACAATTATTCTCTACGATTGGCAACACCGCCCTTGTTAGATTTACCAGTAATCGTTACGTAACGTGTAAGTGGTTATAGTCTAGTTATTATGACTCGATGTGTTTTTTTCGAAAGCTACACCTTCCATTTCTGCGTTATCTTATAAAATCAAAATATCTTTTGGAGAAGCTTGTACCAAGAGGTAAAATTAATCTAATAGAATTAAGACAATCGTAATTTTGCGATGCCAATCCACTACTTTGCCTCATTTCAGAAAATTCTTAACTTTTATGCCGTTTGTTACATCTCCACAGATCTATATTGCCAGAGTAAAAGTATTGTGGCTTCCAAGAAGCTAGTCTACAAACAGATGATAGGATATCCAAGTGTTTCCGAATCTCCTCCCTTTTGTAGAGGACTATTTCATAATGCGGTAATGTTACAGTATAGTCTTTTTCACGAGTATCCATTACGGTAGAATCACAGCTGATCATCTAGTAATATTTCAAAATTCCCGATATCGGCAAAGGACATAATTCTGACGGATCCGTCAGTGCCATATTTGTTTTGTTTTTTTTGTACGCTACAGATTCATTTTGCACTTGCTAACAGCTCTCTTATTTAGAAAAGTTACTTTGCAGACCAACACAAAAATGTCACTTGCTGATCAGCTGTTTACCTCAGTAGACGTCAAAGCGTGGTGGATACTCGTAGAATAGGGTATACTTTCAATCAAGGATTAAAATGGATATGGTGAATTTTCAAGAAATAATAGAGTTTTAAAATCCTGATACTTTTTCTTTAAATCTCATATTTTTATTCATTACAAAAATTCACACAATTATATGTTCACATACACAATTATTATCTAATCAGTGCTTCAAACAGTGGCATAGAGACAAATAATTCATTCTACAGTGAGTGTAAATAGTATTCGCACACCTGGTTTCCATAACGAAAAATACCATATCCCGCCTTATTTATTGGTGTTAGACATCCGAAAGAAAATATATATGTACATTAGATTCTGCTTGATTCACTTTTATCGATGGAATCCAAAATCAAAACAGAATAGACTCTAAAAATAATAAAAAGTCACAAGAATGTGCCTGGTGGGCGCACAAAAAGTATTCGTACAGTCGTAATAATGCCGAAAAACTCGCTAGTCAGCCGCACTATCCGAACGCATGGCGACCTCGCTTATCATTCGGTAGACGATACTACTCCCTAGGTTGCTCAGTTTCAGATTCTGTGCTGTAAACATGGGCCGCAAAGGCAAAGAAACGTGTTTAGAGGAGCGAAAGTTAATTTTAAGGCTCCATAACCAGTGCAAGTCGCTAGGTGCTATATCAAAGTTAGTAGGACAACCCCGGTCGACTGTACAAACAGTAATTGATCGGTACTGTGAAACCAAAACGTTGGTAAACAAGGCCAGGAGTGGACGGCCCAAAGTTTTGAGCGAGCAGGACAAGAGAGTGATTGTAAGGACAATCAAAAAGAACCCAAAAGTGAGTGCGCCGAAGATTGTAGCCGACCTGTCACAGAGGGGGACCAAGGTGTCCATCGCGACATGTTGAGGAGCGAGGGGTATCGCGGGTGCACGCCCCGGAAGAAGCCGTGGGTAAGCAAAGTCAACAGAGCCAAGCGTATCGCCTTCTGCAAGGGGCACCTAAATGACACTGCAGAGTTCAGAAATAAGACTATTTACTCAGATGAGAGTAAATATAACATTTTTGGTTCAGATGGTAACAAAAAAGTGTGGCGCAAGAAAAATACAGATCTTTCTCCCGAGAATTTGTGTGCCACTGTAAAACACGATGGTGGATCTGTTTTAGTGTGGGGTTGCATGAGTGCTTCTGGGGTGGGTAATTTAGCTTTCATCGATGGCATCATGGACCACAAGAAGTATATAGAGCTATTGAAGCAAAATTTGAAAGAAAGTGCGATTAAAATGGGTTTAGGAAATGACTACATCTTTCAGCAAGACAACGACCCAAAACATACCGCAACAAATACGAAGATGTGGCTGCTGTACAACACCCCCAAGCAGCTAAATACCCCACCCAATCACCGGACTTGAACCCCATAGAACATTTATGGAGTTACCTAGAGACAAAAATAAGGGAAAATTGGCAGATCTCTAACAGAGGGGATCTGAAACTGCTTTACTGACCGAGTGGAATCGCATACCCCCTTCACTGACGTCTAGGCTGATAGACTCCGTGCCAAAACGGTATGAGAGTGTTTTGAAAGGAAAGGGGTGCCCAACCAAGTACTAAATTGTTGTGATGTTCATGTATCATGTGCAAGACTGATAATTTATGACGAAAAATCACATGTGTACGAATACTTTTTTTTCGCCTTCTTGGTAGATTTTTGTGAGTTGTTATTTCCTTTAGAGACTATTTTGTTTTGTTTTCGAATGATTGACCAGATTGAATAAAGAATACTTTGATGTAGATGTCTATTTTTTTGCAGATGTCTAGCAACAATAATTAGAGAGACATTGCAGTCTTTCGCTTAGAAATCCAAGTGTACGAATACTTTCTACACTTACTGTATATGAGCTAATACTAGTTGGATGCTGGTTGCTTCCCCATATGCATTTTACTTGAATGACTATCGAAGTTCCTTTTGACAGTAGTTTTGTAAGCGCAATGTGTGCATTCATGTAGTTTACTTGAAATTGATGAAATATGCTCAGGATGGTTCTTAATTGTATGACTATCTAAACTTCTCTTAGATTTGAATGTCGTCTTACAGTGAATACACGTTTTAAGGGCATAGCTTTTTGCCCCTGGATGCGTCCCCATATGCATTTTACTTAAATGACAATCGAAGTTCCTTTTGACGGTAGTTTTGTAAGTGCAATGAGTGCATTCATATATTTTACTTGAAATTGATGAAATATGCTCAGGATGGTTCTTAATTGTATGGCTATCTAAACTCCTCTTAGATTTGAAGATCGCATTACAGTGAATACACGTTTTAGGGGCATAGCCTGGTGCCCCTGGATGCTTTCGCATATGTTTACTTAGATAACCCTTTGAGGTGGTTTTAAATGCGCAATATTTACATTCATGTATTTTACTTAAAACTGATGCAATATGTTCAGGATGTGTCTTTATTACATGATCATTTAAATTGATCTTATTTACAAATGTTGTATTACAGTGAATACAAGCATTCAGCTTATAGCTACTTTTTGCATCAGGATGTTTCAACATATGTCTAGCTAAGGTACTTTTGAAGTAAGTCTTATAAGTGCAATGTGTACATTCATGTAGTTTACTAGGAACTGATGCTATGGAGTCGGGATGTTCCTTAATCATGTGGTTATACAGTAGCACTTTAGCTTTAAATGTAGCTTTACAGTGAATACATTTTTTGAGATTATAGCTACGTTTTGCACCAGAATGCTTAAACATGTGCGTAACCAAGTTAGCTTTGAAGGCAGTTTTATAAGTGCAATGTGCACATCCATGCATTTTTCTAGAAACCCCACTAGTAAAATCAGGATGTTTCAACATATGTCTAGCTAAATTACCCTTGAAGGCAGTTTTATAAACACAATATATGCATTCGTGTACTTTACTTGAAACTGTTGTAATATACCCAGGATGGTTCCCAAGTATGTGATCATCTAAACTTATCTTATTACTGAATGTCCTGTTACAGTGAATACACATTTTACGCTGACACGCACCTTCTGCCCCTGGATGCTTCCCCACATGCCTACGTAAATTAGATCTTGAAGTAGTTTTAAAAATACAATGTTTACATTCATGAATTATACTTGTAACAGATGAAATATCTTCTGGATGTTTCTTGATTAAGTGATCATCTAAACTTGCCTTGGATTTGAACTTTGCACTACAGTGAATACACGTTTTAGGCTCACGTCCATCTATTGCCCCTGGATGCTTCGCCATACTTGGAACCGATGAAATATACTCAGAATGTTTCTTGATTATATGACCATCTAAACTATTCCTACATTTGAATGTTCTGTTACAGTGAATACATACATTGGGCTCATATCCTTCAGCCCCAGAATGCTGAAGCATATGCCTAACCAACTTAGCTTTGAAGGCAGTTTTATAAGTGCAATGGGCACATTCATACATTTTTATAGAAACTTCACTAGTATATTCAGGATGTTTCAACATATGCCTAGCTAAATTACCCTTGAAGGTAGTTTTATAAGCACAATATATGCATTCGTGGATTTTACTTGAAACTGTTGTAATATATCCAGGATGGTTACCAACTATGTGATCATCTAAACTTATTTTATTACTGAATGTCCTGTTACAGTGAATACACTTTTTAAGCTGACACCCACCTTCTGCCTCTGGAT